TCCGTACGCCGATATGATTCAATAAAAAAAAAGATTGTAGTAATAGCAAAACGAGAAATGTGGAAGTGGTCATAAACGAACATATATGTCTGCGGTTTAGTGGATCAGAGCCTAGCCCGTTTCTGGGAGTAAAGGCATAATAATGATATCTTAGAATGTGCGAAGAACAGAAATATGTCGGCGTTCATCGGGTGCTGACAGACATCTTGTATGTTATTCTTAGATATCATTGAACATTTCTGATATCAACCGCGATTGAGCCGCCTAAATGCTAGTAAAAAGGCTTTGAGCCACTGAAAGAAAGACGAAAAATTGAGAATAAATGTACCAAGTGGTGTGTTTCAATGAATATCTTGAATATGAGTTACTGTCGTTGTCATGGGTTCGTTAAGTGTAGGTGGACTGGCGTCTTCCGACAGGTGGGGGATGGTAGCTGTCGTAGTGGTGGCGAGAATACTTGTCCGGCCCGATTTCGCGGGCATATTTGAAGTCCTTCTCTTTAAGGCGAGAACTGTAGTCCACTTCGCCGAACAATTGTCTGCTAGACGATTGCCTAGAGGTCTCTGGCCGGACCTGTTCGTAACGCTTGGACGGCTCTGGGGTGTAAGCGTAAGTACTACTCCGAACTGGTTTCGGTGGGGCGCGTGGCAGACGTTCTTGTGGCGGTAAGTATGTTCTGGAGTGTCTCGGAGACGGGTGTGGTTGTGACGACATGCCTGGTTCTACCAGAATGGTCTCGGGCTCGTTGACAAGCTTGTCGTTAAAAACCTTATAACGTGTCGACATCTTGGGAGGGCTTTCCCCGGCCGCCATTTCTGGAGTACCCGGACTTGAGTACCCTGAATCCGACTTATCCACGCCTCTTACCTTCGCGGTACGCGATGGTGGGTCAGAATACACCATACCTAAAAGTACCGGATCCGAACGACTACTGCCTTCCCGTTTTGATCGGGAATACGAAGCAGTCGCGGATCGTGAGGGCTGGAGGGAGGGCCGGACAGACGAAGGGACTTTCATCCCTGCAGCAGTGGCTGGGGTTGGCATGGGGGGAACCTTGGCTTCATAACTGCGGGATGGATGATCGTAAGACTCTAAATCCTCATATGAGCCATGGCGAGATGTATCAGGTCGCACGCTTTCGGTGGATCGTTTTGACCTACCGGCGCGGCGGGAGGAGGAAGACTCTGGGTCGGCCGATTCGTAGCCCCGACGTTGATTGGGGGAGCGGGAAGAACGTTGTCTAGATTCACGCTCCACTGGGAGCGTCCCTTTGGAGCGGCGAATGTAGTTTTCGGCCGTGGAATATTGTTTCTCGTGTTTATCCCATTCGTCAGAGTAATCCTCCTCATACCGTCGCTCGGAGCGGCGCGAAGACTCTGTTGGTTTGGTCTTCCGCGATGACGATTCCCGAGTCCGGGTGGACGGACGCTTCACGCGTACCCAAACGGACGACGCGCTCGAGTCGGAGGCATCATCTTCGGACCCGACGTAGGAAGCATACATCTTCTCGTAAGCTTCCCGTCGCCGTTCCTTGGTACGGTACTTGGCCCGATCCGTGTGGGTCGTTTTGGCACTGCTGCTGCTACGCGCCGTATCTTTCGATGGGCGGGGAGAGCTGACAGGAACGCTCTTAGTCTTTTTCTTTTCTTCCGATGCTCTCGTCCGTTGTCGCATCCCAAATTCATCGTTTTTGCGGGGCGTCGACCGCGATTCCTTTGTAAACCGGACATCTTCGTACACATCGGCCGGCGTTCTTTCTTCATAGATGCGTCCATCCCGATACTCGCGGACCGTACTCCCCCGTTGAGCGTAGGACGCCGAACCGCCCGCGGTTGCGTTACGCGCCGCCATCTCCCTTCGGAGCTCATTGAGACGAACTTTCTGGTCATACTTTTGCCTTTCCGTGGGATCCGAGAGGATTTCGAAGGCCTTCTGGACTTTCTGAAACATCTCCGACGAGTTATTCCCGACCTTATCTGGATGATGCTTGAAGGCGAGTTCCCGACGGGCGGTTTTGAGATCTGCTAGGGTGGCATCTTTCTGGACGCCTAAGACAGCATATGGATCGAACTCTGGTGTAGACGACATGGTTTGGCCAACTCAATGAATACATAAATTGGTCATTCAAACTTATCTCGTTGGAAGGGTATGTAAATAAATAAATGATAGTTGAATCGGGGAGGGGGTTGTATGTGCGGGGGTGAAATCGAAATCGGAGTTAATGCGTATGTGAGTTAATATATGCTTAGCGTTGCTGGTCGGTGGCGTTGCACACCAGTCTGGGCATAAAATAGGAGGTGCCTGGGAAAACAGAAGTGTGTGGGCTGAATGAATGAATTGAAAGTGACGTGGATTGCTCGTGATAATCAGTTCATCGTCAATAGCAATTTGACTATGACCAATTCATCGAGAATGCCGGCGAAGCCAAGAGAAGTTGATTAGCAGATCATAGGTCAGACAGCAACCATGCAATGTGACAGTTTGATGATAGAAGGCACAGTAAGGGGGGGGGGGAGAGATTCAGGAAGAAAACGGAGAGAGGGAGCGGAGCAAGTAAGTACTAAGTAATGAAGTACTGGTTGTCAGCCCAGGAACCAAGAGGCAAGAATGGGACCGGCAATTCCCAGGCACAGCGATTGGATTGCTGTTTGGTTGCAAGGTAAACTTTCACCAAGATTGGTAACGTACGGTACCAAGAGTTTGTTCCACCGTATCAGAGACTTTGCGGGAGAGGCAAGCCGAGGGGCAAATGGGGAAAAAAATCCAGGATAATTAGAAACAAAAAATAAAAAAAATTAAAATAAAATAAAATAAAATAAATCGAAAAAAAATCGAAAAAAAATTAGAGAAATTCCTCCCAAGGCTCAGGCCCAAGGACACTGCGCCACGATACTCTAAAAGTAGAACAGCGTTGGAAGATAGAAGCAACAAGAAGGGAATAGTTCAAATGCAATGAGATGAACTGGCACCACGTTGAGTCAGGGCTGAGTGATAATGAGCGATAATGATGGAGAAAATTCCATGGAAGTCACGGGGTGATGCTCGATGATGCCACCCAACGTCAATTCCAACTGTTGTTGTACTCGCCCAGTATATCTCTCTCTGTAAGGCTGTTTCGGGCAACAATAGGGAGAGAAGGTAGTAATAAATCGGCTTGTTTCTCACTCGGTATTTCTTTCTCTTCTTCTTTCTTTCCTTATTTTATTTTATTTTCTTTTTCCCTTTTCTTTTTGTTGTTCTTCTTTCTTTCAGAATATTCTCCTCCCTGCGTCCGGTATGATGTTCACAGTTGGGTTCCGCAGTAGCGGTGAATGGCATGAATTGGTAGGCGGAGCAACAGAAGGTAATATTATGGAGACTCCCTTTCCCACGACACGTTGAAGGCCCGCTTTTGTTTGAGACGTGAGGGAATTGGGGTCAACGAGAGTAGAAGGATTGCACTCGTGATGATGGTCAATAGCAATAATAAAAAGGACCACGACTAAGTGTCAAATTCAACAACAATGGGAATGGCCAATGCCCGGTAGTTATAAAGAGCGGTCAATAGACAATTGTTCTATAAAATCAATCAATGATTCTGAATCTATCTCAAGGAAGTGATGAATAGTACGGTTTCACAAGTGAACCATTCAAGGAATTGGATCGATCTGAAGATCAAACACCTCATGGAGAGGAGTGGTTAGAGTCGTCAAGCTGAGATGCGGACCTGATGGCGATACAAATACCCAGTGGGAAAGCTCTCAGTACGTCCACCTCCGGATAAAGTAATCTCATAGGAGGGTCGAGAGGCTTCAAGTGTAATACTGTTTGACTAGATTTCACCTATCACCCTTTTCGGAAGTACTACACTTAGGTCATCGCGTTTGATCCATCTTACATCCTTGCATTCTCACTCGCTCCGAGAGAAAGCAGGGCTTACTCTTTGTCTGGTCCAGGAGTGTGAAGAGTCACGACACCTGCCATCCATTGTACCGTGGACTAGTAGTTCCAAAGCCACGCTGGGTTTAGTGCCTCCCGCGAAGAACATGTGTCTGCAGGACAGAAAGGAATTCCTGACCTTCTCTTCTGATCACTGAATTTACCGAAACCGTTCGACTGATGGCAGATGAGCACGGTCTTCCTGTCACCTGTCTGGTCTCCCCACCCATATTTGATTCAAACCCATGCTTCTCGATTTTCCATGGATCAACGGTGGATTTCCATCCCACACGCACTTACCAAATAATTTGGCCACCTCAGCGTCGATTCTCGATGGGATCAATCCTGGATCATTCTGACTCTGACCACCAACTCGGGGTCGACCAGTGAAAAAATGAAGGTGGTTAATTGGCAACAACAACGGGAAAAAAAACCCCGCACTAAAGGCCACTCCAGTCGGTGACGCTGACTCGTTGTGACTTACACCTTAGTTGCATTTTGGTCCAGGGATGGACACACCACTTCGCTCTCAAATCTCTTTTCCTATAGGCTGTGGTGTCCCCATTTTTGTTGCCTTCACCGGGAGGGCAATACTGTCCAATCATCGTACAGCATTTCCATGCAACTCCATCCGGTCCGCCTCACCAGGGATCATGGATCATGCTGTGGCTTCTGCAGTTGCGAATTGGCTCAGGGTCATTTCTCTGCTTTCCCCTTTTCATCTTTCCCTACAGCTTGCATGTCAACCAATGTGGAGAATGTTCACTTCATGGCGCCGAAGGTTTTCTCGGCTCAATGCAGCGTTGCCCACCCCCTTCTCTCCCCCAGACAACGCTGTACGTACATACTTCGTGCCTGGAGGGGTATCCACGGTTGTAGCCACACGATCCGAACCCAGGCTCGCGTGAAACCGTCCCATGGGTCAAGCCCGGCAGGTTCCGCAGCGAAGAAATGGTACATCACGTAACTGAGATGACTGATGATAACAGGTACAGCCGTAAGGGAGAGAATACGATGCTCGAGTGCAAGCAAGCAAGCGTTCCTCACTCGGCGGCTATGTGGTCACAAGATTTTACCTCTATCACAAATCTCTAGCGGCGAAGGCATCGCACCGTGTCAAATGTCGATCTATCACTTTGTTTTACCAACGGTGAGACCAACCAACCAAATAAAAAAGGGTTGCCGTAATGTAGCTATTCTTCATCACTCAATCTTTAGGATGCTTCCACCAATCTGACTGTTCGAGAGCGATAGCTGTCAGACAACCTTTACTTCCTGGTCAATGACTGTGACACAGGCCGCCGAAGCCTTGCGAAAGAGATCCTTCTCGAAATGCGTAATTGGGTCCCTGGCTGCAGTCATCTGCACATGGAGCCTGTTACACAGAGCGTCCAACCAGCTCAGCCGCTCTTCATGCAATGATTGCCCCGACATTAGGCTTGTTTCTGCTTCGTTTCCCCGAATCAGCGTATCCAATGATGTCTTCAGGTTTTCTAGACCTTCAGACGGTGTAGATCCCCCAAGCTCTCCGATGGAAATACCTAATAGAAGAACGATGCTGAAACTTAATCCAAAGTAAACCTGCGAGATTGTAGCCTTCATTCCCTGGAATCATTGGCCATCCATTCTTCAGGCTTGGAATAGTGCAGGAGATGAAGCAACGGGTGGTTGTTCCGATGCACAATTGATCTGTCTTCCACTCACCGACCGACCACTACTCATGCCTGATGACCGAGTCTGATTTGAAGCCGACGTGTTGGACAGTGCTGCTGATCCGGATGATCGGCGTACCTGACTGGCTTATGTGGGGGGTGGGGAATGGTCGTTTTCTCATGCCTCGTGGGACTACTTGTACATAGTATGATGGTGAGTTTCGTACACACGATCATCGCCGCCGTGATTGGTATCAATACTGTCACCGTATCGATGTTGGTTGGAACTAGTACCAAGGACATTTTGGATCTTATCAAGATGCGTACCCAGTCGGCGGCTAACGATCGACTCCACTGGCCCCATTTCACTAATGGTCTTGTGAACAACGGAAATATTCAGGGTTAACGCGCCAAAGCGCCAAGTGGCGCCCCATGCAACTGTACTGGGTACTCCCATCCCATGGTATCAGTTACCATACGCTGTGACTAAGCGTTTGGGACAACACCCCTCTTTAGTTTCCTTCTTCCAGCTCAGGACGATCCATTTCGTGGACAGGCATAGGATCCTCTCCGAGGGTACGTGTGAATTATTCCCTCAGGAAAGACATCTGTTACAAAGTTAAGATCATTCCTCCCCGATCGAGGATTCAAGTTGCGTCTACAAAGAACAAAGAGCAGGTCTCCTGTCCAACGCATCCCTGCTGGTTAACAACCCCTCACTAAGTTGGATGCAATCCAGCACAGAGTACGGAGTAGTAGGATTAAGGTAGTCAAGGATCCCACGTTTATGCTAACCATCCAGAAAGATGCTCTCCAGCTTTTTAGCCCTGATTCGATTCTGGATTAGACCTCCTGTGGCTGATTGAGTCACAGCCATCACTTTCTGATAGGAGAAATGTCTCGAGTGCAGATGACTCGGTTATTTCCTTCCCTCTGGAGGTTGCTCTTCTTTGTTTACCTTGTGCTACATTGTCGAGGGGATGAGAGGTTATTTCGCGCAGAAGTTGGAAGCTAAGATGTGGCGAATGATTTCAGTGGCTATGCTTTGTCGTCCTCCAATTTATTGTTCTAGATCTTCTTAAGAGTTTTATTTGTTTGTCTTAATATGTTTTTCCCCTTCTTTTATTTTGATTTTTATTTATTTATTTATTTTTGTCAGTCTCGAATTAGGCATATACCTCAGTGACGATATGGCACAGGGAGGGGTGAGACTCCAGCCAACTTAATGCACCGGCTGCATACCCGTGCCTATCCCCATGTAACAGTCCCTTCCATGATGTAATACACAAAAACAAACAACCCCCTATTAAACTATCAGGCAGGGAGGTAATTGTGCAAGAAAGCGTAGCTCCCCCTTTGTTCCAAGGCAGCCGTGCATGCGACCCCGAGCCAAAGAGCGAACCATACGTCAAGGATAGGTCAAAGCTCAAGCTATCTGCTACCAGACGGACAGCATCGGGAATCCAATCGCTGCGTTGTCTCGAATGAGTTTGAAAAGTCGAACACAGAGGACCAGGTTTCAGAACCCTTACCGATGGCTAGTGGGTAGATGCATTAATTGGGACTGGGCAATGCATCTCGCAGTAGTTGGCCAGTCCACGGGAATTCACTCCCGCCATACAGGGAGCTCCAAGTCCACAACAATGGGAGGGTTGAATCGCTTCCCTCCGCGATGGGGCCAGCTCGTCGCCATGATCGCCGCGTTGACGATGCAAGTTTCTCGTCGACGCGAACGATCGATCGGTGGGTCACTTGGGCATTTGTCTGGTCTTAATCGAGGATATGACGTTGTAGATTCCCCGGGAACATCAGCAGACGGGAGGATCAGGATATTCTGCGCTGAAGGGAAAGACACGCCTTGATTGTTCTTCACTTCATCGAAAAAGAAATCATCATTATCTAGTCGCTGCGCTTTCTTGCCCGTCAGGTCGATCAGACTTTGCTTCTTACTTCCCGGCTCAGGCAACGCCCCGCGAATAACCTGCTCGGACCCTGTCAACGGCGACAGTGGCCATCGTACTCGCTCATAGCCTCGCGACTCGTGGACATGGCCACAGATCGCCAGAGAGGGCCGAACTCGACCCAGCGCCTGACGCAGGGCCTCGCACCCAACAGAACCACCGGTCGCTCGGCGGTCGCAATGGGAATGAGGCGGCGTGTGCGTAACAACCAGATCGGCGTCCAATGGGATGTGGCTCCAGAGGGCAGCGGCGTCGGCGGATTCGTATCCCCAGGCCCAGGTTCCGGGTGATTGGGAGAAGGGCGACCCGAATACTTTAAAGATGGTGTTTGGGCCGTTGGGCCGGGTCAAGCGGACTAGCGCTGACTGGTGCCTGAGGAATATGATCGAAGACGATGCAGTTACGACTTCGATGCATTTCTGGGGATCTTCTAGACGCTGACTGTGGAATTTGGGGCCATGTTTGGCGTAGAAGTTTGGATCTAGTGTGATGTCGTGATTGCCTGTGGGTTTAACCTGATTCAGTAATTTCGTAGCAAGGCTGAGTTCCTGAAAGGGGACAAAAAAAGAAGTTGGTAAATATAGCCTGTGCAGGGCTGAGGCTGAGTCTGCGGCAGTAGGACTAACCACAGATGACTATTTTGACCTCAAATTCAGCCGCGGCCACCCAGTCTATGGTTTTGCGCAGTTCGGTTATGCTCCCTTGGTTTGTTAGGTCACCTGCGTGGATGAGAACGTCGCCGGCTGGGAGTTTGAAGCCGGCTTCAGCTGGAGTGTACCCGTGGGTATCGGAGACACAGACGAAGCGCGTCTTGCGGCGCATGTTTCCATTATGGGATCTTGGCTCTCGGTGTGGTTTGAATGAGAGGCAGTGAGGAAGGATTAACCATGAGAGACTGATTTTGATAGAGACAATTAACATGGGCCCCACAAGCAATGCTTGACGGAGATTGCCATAACATCATCGACCATAGGTATCTACAGTACTACACAGTATGGGTCCAACGATAAGATATCAGTACCACCCTTTGAGCTAGCTTAAGAAGGAAGGACTTCTCCATGCCCGGGCGAATTTGACAGGTCAATGTCGGTCGCAAAAAATTCTGGCCACTGGGGACAAAAAGAGCAGACCCAGCCTAGAACCCGTGGGCCAATCAATCCCGGTGGATGGGGACAATGAGAAAGCCGGCCATTCCGATAGTGGAGACGGAGTGGCCTTAAGTCATGACCACCTTCAGATCCCACTCTGCATTCTTCTCTCCTGTTAGACAGGCGATCTCCCGATCCTGAAACAGGCAACAATTTTCCATTCCAAAGGACCAGCCATCGTATCCTCACCCGACGAAGGGTACCACCAATACAGCACCATCTGTTCGGCACAATGCCTCGCTGGAATCGCAAAAAGAAATCCCAGGCGAAAGATGAGATCCCGAACAGCAGTAATCCCGCGGTGGTGCCATCCGACAATTTGACGGCCGTCGGCTCTCTCCGCGCGGTGACCAGTAATCCCTCCGATGCGTCAAAATACGCTGAATTGGATCCCGCCGAGCTTCGAAAGCTGGCGAAGCAGCATGCCGAATTCGGCCCGCTCGGGGATTCGTCGCATCTTTACAAAAGTGAGCATCCAGGCGGCGAGATACCGGACCCGGTGCTTGATGAACCCCCCTACTTCATTGCCTTGACGACGTATATCAGCTTCCTGGTTCTCATTTTCTTGGGTCACTTCCATGACTACTTCGCGAAGTGGTTCCGCTCGCATACGTACCGTCACTTGAGGCCTCAGAATGGGTACGCGTCGCTGTACAGTGATTTCGAGAGCTTCTACACGAGACGTCTTAAACAGAGAATTAATGATTGCTTCGAACGGCCTACGACGGGTGTTCCCGGCAGGTATATCACCCTGCTTGACCAGACGTCAGAGGACAATCTCCATTTCCAGCTTACGGGAACGACGACCGATACCCTGAATTTGAGCTCGTACAACTATCTCGGGTTTGCTCAGTCCGAGGGACCTTGTTCTGACTACGCGGAGGAGACGATTCGCCGGGATGGTATCAGCATGGCGGGATCGTGTAGCGAGGCGGGAACGTCAAAACTCCATCTCGAGGTAGAGAGTCAGATTGCCAGGTTTGTCGGAAAGGAGTCTGCAATTGTCTACTCGATGGGCTTTGTGACCAACGCCACCATCTTCCCCGCTCTTGTCGAACGGGGCTGCCTGATCCTGTCGGACGAGCTCAACCATGCGTCTATTCGTTTCGGCGCCCGTCTCTCGGGTGCTGCCATTCAGGTCTTTGCACACAATAACATGGCTGACCTTGAGAAGCGCCTGAGAGAAGCAATCTCCCAAGGTCAGCCACGCACACACCGACCATGGAAGAAGATTCTTGTCACTGTCGAGGGTCTTTTCTCTATGGAAGGCACTATGTGCAACCTTCCTAGGATTCTCGAGCTCAAGAGACGATACAAATTCCACCTGTTTGTTGACGAGGCTCATTCGATCGGTGCCGTCGGACCCCATGGACGTGGTGTTTGTGACTACTTCAAGGTTGACCCTGCCGAGGTCGACATCCTCATGGGCACTTTCACTAAATCCTTTGGCGCCAATGGGGGCTACGTTGCCGCTGACAAGGCGATCATCGACAAAGTGCGCTTTACAAACGCCGGTCAGGTTTTTGGCGAAGCACCGGCGCCTTCAGTTTTAGCACAGATCTATTCTTCCCTTCGCCTCATTGCCGATGAGGACCCCCTTCACCCTGGCCAGGGTATCGAGCGAGTGCAGCGACTGGCCTTCAACTCCCGGTATTTGAGACTCGGACTCAAGAGGCTTGGATTTATTGTTTACGGACACGACGACTCACCAATTGTTCCCCTCATGCTCTACAACCCTGCCAAGATGCCGGCCTTTTCCCACGAAATGCTACGACGTAAGATCTCCGTCGTCGTCGTAACCTACCCGGCAACCCCGTTGGAGCTTTCTCGTGCACGATTCTGTGTGTCCGCTGCGCACACCAAGGACGATCTCGACCGCATCTTACGGGTATGTGATGAGATAGGAGATGCCCTAGAACTGAAGTACTCGACCGGTGTTGCCGGCGGTTTGAGGGACCCTCCGTCCGACGAAGACCTCAAGGGAGGTAAGAAGGCGATTGAGCCTCCTCGCTGGAATATCGAAGAAGTCATCGAGAGAGGTACTCGAGACGCCAAATTGCCTCTGTACTGAAGAACGCGACGCAGGGACACCATTTACTGCCTGTTCACATCTCACCTCGACGCTGTTACGAAAGCCGGCCATTTTCTCTTCTACTCTGAAACCTTTTTGAATATGTATAATACGCTGAGATGATCGAGCACAAGACATATAGTATAATATTAATAGTAATGACAATCAGCTTCATTCTACTATCATTAATCCCAGCTACTACTTAGTCAGCGGACCCAGTGATCTTCAGTTCTGCACTGGGGTCCAAATAAGATCTCGGTAATTGGAAAGTACGATCTCAATCTCAAAGCATAATGTTGAAGGCCAGTGGTACAACCCTACACAACGCCTTGATAATTCTCGGCTGTAGGTCTAGCCAAGAGGCCAACTGCCGTCTACCTTAGGATATATTGCGCGTATTTGTAGATCGTAGAGGTTATAATGAGACCTCTACAGGGTGACATATATAGACAGCAAGTGATTTAATACCGTTTACAGTCCTCGGTGGTGATTGCATTCATAAACAAGTGTGCCTCTATACGGACTGAAACGGTTTGGCGACTGCAGTTCCGCCCAGTTGTACTTGCGGGGCGGGCAGCGATAAGTGTGCGGAATGATTGATACCAACTACTATCTACCACTTAATCTTTGACATCACCGGCCTTGAAAACCACAAGGTGACCCCCTGATAAGGGCAAACGATAGTGGAACGGGCCTATCAAGTCGGTACAGTGGCGGACGAGGCTGGAATCTCCGGGTATATCACGTGATAGCGCTCAACGGGATTGGTCGGAGTTAGGGCTGGGGCCCTTCTCGACCTTACCCAAGCCGCACATTAGCCTCGCTTAGCCAGCGTGCGAACTCATCCGACTTCGTTGTGTGCGTAGAACCTGCCCACAACGACAACAACCGCCGACAACATACATCCCAAGGGAGTATCCTAGAGCAGCGCTCTTCCTTTCGCTGGATATTTTCGTGACAGAAGAGCAGGATGTCCTCCACCGAGCCAGTCGTGCGTACACCCCCTTCACATGCAGTCGCTTTCCGGGTGGAAACCTTCCGTGATATATCTTTTGAAGACGTTGAATGGCCGTGGATGCGGAGAGGAAGATCGAGAGATATAGGAGAAGGGAAAGACACTCTGTTTGGGTTTACAGTGATCGCTGACTTGTGATGGATTTTGACAGGTCGTCATTGACGGCAAGGGACACCTTCTTGGTCGTCTGGCCAGCACTGTCGCTAAGCAGCTGCTCAACGGCCAGAAGATCGTCGTCGTGAGATGTGAAGCCCTCAACATCTCCGGCGAGTTCTTCCGCGCGAAGCGTACGTTATCCGACCCGATCTATTTTTCTACCTGTGTTTCTTTGGAAGATGGGAACGATTTGAGGAAGCATTAGAAGGAGGAGGAAATCTACGCAGGGATTACGCAAAGGGCGATGAAACAGCATATGATATTATTACTGGTGCAGACGGGCTGACATGGATATTGGGATATAGTCAAGTACCACGCCTACCTTCGCAAGATGACCCGTTTCAACCCTACTCGCGGAGGTGAGTTCAACCGACAGAAGATCGACGCAACTCCGTGGGCTTGTGCTGAATGATCACAGGTCCCTTCCACTTCCGTGCTCCCTCTCGCATCTTCTACAAGGCCGTCCGCGGAATGATTCCCCACAAGACCGCCCGTGGTGCTGCTGCCATGGAGCGCCTTAAGGTTTTCGAGGGTGTTCCTCCTCCTTATGACAAGAAGAAGCGTGTCGTTGTTCCCCAGGCTCTCCGTGTCCTCCGTCTCCGCCCCGGCCGCAAGTACTGCACCGTCGGCCGTCTCAGCCACGAGGTTGGCTGGAAGTACCAGGACGTTGTCGCCAGGTGCGTATCAGATGTTCTAGAATGGGTAGCGAAGGAAATTTCGCTACAGGGCTGGCTGGATCATGGCTAACAGTATTCTTTTTCAAACTACAGACTCGAGGAGCGCAGAAAGGTCAAGAGCAGTGCATACTACGAGCGCAAGAAGGCCGCTCGCCGCCAACTCGTCCAGGCCCAGAAGTCGGCAGGTGTCAGCGACCAGACCAAGAGCCAGCTTGCTCAGTACGGATATTAGATACCTCGTTGCGCGGCTGGTTGCTTGTGTCTTTGATGGGATGGGTTGGGATCGCGAACGGTTTTCTTTCAGCGAGATTGTTTGGACGGCGAACCGATCGACCTTGTTCTCACTGTCCCTACCTTATCATGAATATTCCACAATGATCATGTTGTGACGCACATGGAGGCTGGAGAGACCGATTTCTTATTATAAAAAATAACGGAGTCGCTTGGGATGGAAGGTTGTTCAAAATAGCCGACCTTTATTTCGCGCCGTGGCGGTTTAATCCAAAGAATTTTCTTTCCGAGTTAAGAATGACTCTACGACCAGTTACTTGTCAAACTTTTCCATTCAGTAAACTTTGATACCTACCTAATACATAGACCGAATAATCACCATTTTCGACAAACATTCCTCTCCATGCCCATGCGATACATGCCCTGGTTACACAACACGGCGGGTCATCCTCACCATCCTCCCCGGGTAGATCCAGTTGCCGCCCACAAATGTGACAAGCGGGTGATGTGTAGATCAAATGTGACGAGATACTCCCTGCATTAGGCTTCTCTGTGATCGCATACCTATGCGCGTAGTGTGCATATATCATTGGTGTCTCTCGAGGTGTGACCATTAGTATTTAGTCAACTGAGCTCATGTTTTTGTCAGATAATATATAATGTAGTGCACACTGAGAAGCCTGAATATATTAACCCGCTGCTAAGCGCCCCATGTGCGAGATGTCTGCAGCGGCGTTAGTATTTTGACTTGCGATCACACGCGATCATGGACAGATCTCTTTTACTTTTTCATTGCATGAATACTCATGGTCCTGATTATAATCTTGTAAATATATTATTGCAGTAGTAAGAGACAAGAACTGATCCCGAACATTAACTAGACATAACCCTTAGTAAGTATCGGGGCGAGCCAATAACCGATCACCTTGGCGCACCTTACTAATCGCTACTAAGAGATAGTGTACCACTGAACGAAGGAAAACAAATCCAGGGCGGAAAGAAAGGACTACGCAAGGAGCGAAAAAAAAAAAAATAACCCAAAACGAAGTAATAAACCTCACTAATTAAGCATTTCGAGGCAATTTCAACTCTTCCTAAATCATAGAACCACGAAAGGTTACCTCCGGATAGAAGGAAGGGTAACCTCAGCGGGAATTGAATCGATCCTCCCGCCTCCTCCGCGGTCCGAGTTAGTTTCGATTTCCCCGCATTTAGCAGCTTTCTCCAACTTGGGGTCAGAACTCGACTACCAGTGGTTGTGACAACTTACTCTTGTTTTCCCCGGGGTTATCTATAATTGCTTATTTTTGATTGAATATATCTTGCATATCCTGTGATCAACCGGTCTAAATTAGCCCCTTTTGCCTTTAGTAAAGTCGTTCATATCTGTTGCCGAGGATCAAATCATGTCCGGTGCTGTATCGAGGTTGTCGGGACTCTTGGGCCATTTTGTCCCTGGTGCAGAGCAGCGGGTTAATTTTCATACGCTGTCGCCGACGTTCTTCTTGCCGAGAGCGGCAGCTATTGAACCCGAGGTTTGTCTTGACTTGCTTTGGTTGCGTTTTGGGTTTCAAGGGGTGTGGTTGAGTGCTAATCTTAGGGGATAGGCTGAGGCGATCCATCACGTTACTGCGAATAACCAGGTGTTGAGACGGACCTATGCTGAGACGGCGGATCGTGCAAGGGGTCTCGCTTATTATCTGAAGAAGCATGGGTTCAAGAGAGTCGGTGTGCTGTGCCCTAATACGCCTGCCTTTTTGGAGTCAATCTTTGGAGTTGCGGCTGCTGGGGCAGTGAATGTTGGTGGGTTTAAGATTTCTTTATGTCTTTCATATGTTTGGGGGTCATTAGCTAACAGGTGGATGGGTAGCTGTTAATTATCGGTTGAAGGAGGACGATATCGCTTACATATTCACGCACTCTGATGTTGAAGCTATTATTGTTGATCAGGAGTTCCTGTCGCTTCTACAGAGCTATCGTGCTTCGAAGCCCAGTATCCCTATTATTGTCGATACGGATACGGATGCTACCGAAGGCCAATTATCCGGTCCCTTTGATGAGGCGGTTTTGGAAGGCTTGAGGTATGACTTGGATACGGGGGCCAAAGGTTGGCCTGGGCTCGAGGCCCAAGCCGCTTCTGAAGATGACGTTATCGCTCTTGCGTACACCAGCGGTACGACGGCTCGACCGAAGGGTGTCGAGTATACCCACCGTGGCTGCTATCTTGCTGCGATGGGCAATGTGATTGAATCTGGGCTTAATTCGCACCATGGTCGGTGCCGGTATCTGTGGACTTTGCCTATGTTCCATGCCGTTGGTTGGTGTTCATTGCTTAGGTTATTATGCGAAAAGTATTTACGACTGACCATTTTTTAGGGTGGACGTTCCCTTGGGCTGTTACGGCAGTGCGTGGTACCCATTATTGCTTGCGGAAAATTGACTACCCGCAAATCTGGAAGCTACTGAAGCAGGAGCACATCACGCATTTTAATGCCGCTCCGACGGTGAACACCCTGCTCTGCAATTCTAACGAGGCGGAGCGGCTGCCCGAGCCAGTTCATGTTACAGTCGCGGCGAGTCCGCCTACGCCTCACCTCTTCGAGCAAATGACTAACTTGAACCTCCATCCTGTGCATGTATATGGCATGACGGAGACATACGGGCCAATCACGAAAGGCTATTACCTGCCTGCATGGGACAACCTGCCGTCAAGCGAAAGGTATAAGAAGATGGCCAGGCAAGGACATGGCTTTGTGACCAGTCTACCCGTACGAGTAATTAAGACGGATGTTTCCGAGGGCACTATCATTGATGTTAGTCGGGATGGCAAGGAGATAGGTGAAATTGTTTTCGTCGGGAATATCTGTGCTCGGGGCTACTACAAAGACCCCGACGCTACGCGGAAACTCTTCGCGGGTGGCGTTCTCCACTCCGGAGACTTGGCTGTGTGGCATGCCGATGGTTCAATCCAGATCCAAGACCGAGCGAAAGACATCATTATCAGCGGTAAGTCTTGAATTGATTAGTACACCGTGGTCTATGTCTTGCTAATAAGCGAGATGCAGGCGGAGAGAATATCTCATCTGTGGCACTAGAGTCTATGCTAGTCACTCACCCGGACATTCTCGAGGCCGGAGTCGTAGCCGTTCCCGACAGCCACTGGGGAGAGCGACCAAAGGCATTTGTGACGGTGAAGTCAGGAAAGTCATTGACCGGTTCCGAGGTGATCGATTGGGCCCGAAATACCAGTGATATCAGCAAGTTCATGATCCCTCGGGAGGTTGAAGTAGTGGCGGAACTGCCCAAGACTAGTACCGGGAAAGTGAGAAAGAACATCCTCCGCGACTGGGCCAAAGGAGCGAATAGATCATGAAGGAGGTGTTAATTAATTGAAAATAAACATGCATAGACGATCTAGACAATATACATGAATTTTTGAGATTGGGCTGTTCTTAGTATAGGCTGACACTATCCCTGTTGGTTCCCAATGAATCATACTTTATGGTCTTGCCGATAGTCTACCACCATGCCAGTAAGTCCCATTTATGGAAGGGGGGCACCAGATGGACCCGACCTTGCCTGACCAGATCCTCATTTGGGTTTAAAAGGGGGGCGGGATTCGAAAGACTGCCAAGGGGAGGGATCGGTGACCCATCGAGGGGGGTCGTGATGAGTTGATAATATATATTCAGTACTAGTAGTTACTAGTATACTATTATAATAATATTTGGAGGACAGTTGTTGAACAGGTGGAGGGATCCGTGTGTCCGTGGTGAAACGCCATAGAAGGGAGAGCGATGCGAGAGGACAGGTAAGAAAGAGAGAAATAGTAGTAGTAGTCCTATTTAATTTATGTATGTCTGCCTTGAATAAGGATCCGTAAATATCAGGCAGGGTCTACTCACTACGATTCACTATCTAAGGTAATTGCCTAAGACTAGGTTAGTAAGATCAAGTCCAGACGGCGTTAGCGGTAACCAATCGGGGCACGAGACGAACATTGCCCGACCGATTTGGGAGTCTTTTCTTCCAACTTTGCCCTCAAATCAAGCGAAGATCCTCCCCCCCCAAGTCACCCACTTGGTATCCCTCTCATTGCTGACATCTGACTCGTCCATATTTTATTCTCATTCTTCGTTTCCCAGTGTTGTCTGTCAGGAGTGGCATTTTGACAAATAATCAAACAGTCCACACACCCCACAGAAAACGCAAACAGCAACGGATTCGCTTACTTCCCCTCCCTTCCGCTGAATCGCAGCCGCCGCCTTCCCTTTCTTCACAGCCGCCCGATTGTCTGGCTATATAATCTCCGCCCCACGAGTCCCCTAGCCAAACCGCTTTCGATCATAGCTTGGAGTGCGTCTCCCAGCCGTGCTCACTTACCTATCCGTCACCAGGAACATTTGCACCTCCCTCGCATCTCTCCGCCGCCGCCGCCTTTCCTCTATTCACCCCTCCCTTGCCTTCACTAGTCTGCAACGGCCACAGGCACTTCCGACGCGCGTTGCCCCTTCTTAAGCGCCTTCGCTCCCCCGTTCGACTGTACGGCTTTCAACACAGCTTTTCGAGCTAGACCAAGTCAAAAGAAACTCGTCTCATCTTCTGTTCACTTTTCCGATTCAGCAGCCATAGGAGCGATCTTGAACAAGAGTTGCGCCGACTCTTGCTAGGCCCTTCTTCGCCTCCATGGTCGTATAGAGACGCAGCCCATGCCGTACGTTTCCATCAGTTTGTGAGATATCCCACAAACCGATCGTTCCGACCTATCTGAAACACGTTGGATTCGTATCCCTCGGTGGTCCTGATGCCCCGCTCACGGCAACCCGCTCGGTTCTCGAGCGAAGCTCCTTCCGAGTCGTCATCCTCATCATCCCCGGACCGGAACGTTGATGACGACACCGATTTCTTCACAGTCCAGGCAAATGATTCGCAATCGTCTATTGGTGGTATCGCAACCTCCCGTGACGTACACGCCCAGAATGAGCATTATGTGCTTCCGCCGATCGGACGTCTTCCCCCGGAAATCCTGATCGCCATATTTGCAAAGCTCAGCTCGCCGGCCGACATGTTGAGCTGCATGTTGGTATGTCGAGGATGGGCTGCTAATTCTGTTGGAATACTATGGCACCGACCGTCTTGCAGCAACTGGGTCAATATGAAGAGCATTACGACGACAGTTGGGAAAGAAGACAGTTTCTTCTCGTACTCCGACCTGATTAAGAGGTTGAATCTTTCTGCCTTGATGGAGGAGGTCAGCGACGGCACTGTTGTCCCCTTCGCACAATGTAACCGGATCGAGCGGTTGACATTGACCAATTGCTCGAAACTTACAGACAAGGGAGTATCGGATCTCGTAGAAGGCAATCGACATTTGCAAGCCCTAGATGTCTCGGATCTGCGCTCTCTCACGGATCACACTTTATACACGGTGGCCAGGAACTGTCCTCGGCTCCAGGGGCTCAACATCACCAACTGTATCAAAGTGACAGATGATTCGTTAATCGTCGTATCGGAGAACTGTCGACACATTAAAAGAGTGAGTGCCGTCTTGAATCATTGTGTTACTGATGTTAATGTACGGATTAGTTGAAACTTAACGGTGTCATACAAGTTACGGACAGAGCGATTACATCGTTTGCTCGGCACTGCCCGGCCATCCTCGAGATCGACCTGCACGACTGCAAGTCTGTCACCAATCGTTCCGTAACTTCCCTCATGGCTACCCTTCCCAACCTCCGCGAACTGCGACTCGCGCATTGCACAGAGATAGACGATCTAGCATTCCTGGAACTCCCAAAGCAACTCTCTATGGACAGTCTCCGTATACTTGATCTGACGGCGTGTGAGAACATCAGAGACGACGCTGTAGAGCGCATAGTTAGCTCGGCCCCTCGCCTACGGAATCTTGTGCTTGCCAAATGTAGATTTATCACCGACCGTGCGGTGTGGGCCATATGCAAGTTGGGAAAGAACTTGCATTACGTTCATCTGGGCCATTGTTCGAATATCACCGATGCAGCTGTGATCCAGCTTGTGAAGTCCTGCAATCGGATCAGATACATTGACTTGGCTTGTTGCGTTCGCCTGACGGACCGGAGTGTTCAGGAGTTGGCAACGTTGCCGAAACTGCGGCGGATCGGTCTGGTCAAGTGCACCTTGATCACCGACCGCAGTATCTCGGCACTAGCACGGCCGAAGGCCTCACCCCATTCATCCATCAGTAGCCTGGAGAGAGTTCATTTAAGCTATTGTGTTAATTTGACCATGCCTGTAAGTCGTCCAATCGGTCAATGCGCCTTGCCAAGAATCGAGTGTCTCACATGTGATACAGGGAATCCACGCTCTACTCAACAATTGTCCTCGACTCACCCACCTCAGTCTGACCGGAGTGCAGGAATTCTTGCGGGACGAGCTCACCAAATTCTGTCGCGAGGCACCTCCGGAATTCACGCATCAGCAGCGACAAGTGTTCTGTGTATTCAGTGGTGACGGCGTCAAGCAACTCCGCGACCACCTGAACCGAACCGTCCCCCCGGCCCCGGAAATGAACGAGGCTACCATGTATGACGATGACGAAGAACTGGACGAGGACGAGGGCCAAGTGACTGGCCTGATGCATGCGACAGCAATTAACGACGACGATGACGACTATATTGACATTGGACATCCTCAAGGTTGATACCCCCTGCCTTATACCTTTGAGCGTATCTCGTTCTTCTTTCTTTGATTTGGCCTCAGCGTTTTTATTTCATCCCGCGTTGTTCTCTCACACGAATCTGGTCACGGTGCGAGCATTGCGTTTACGAGGTGGCTGTCGCGGTTGATCATATGGGACATGCATTGGTAGCGGTACAGGGCCTATTTTCTAGGTTGTTTTTTTCTCTGTCCGGGACTAGGCATATATGCGGTCGCATTGGAATGAAGCTGCCACGTAGCTACGCTCCCATATGCGGCCTGGTGGAGGAAACGGGACACCGGCAACAAGATATATACGTCTTCCTACGGTTGCTGCTGGGGATGTATAGGTTTTATCTAAGTACGGCGTATTGCGTCCAGGACTCGGCACTATTTGTAGCTACATATTGCATCAATGGCGTTGGAGCATTCCAAAATAAATTTGTATTTCTAGTTAGACATTAGAAGACCTCTAGTTTAAGTCATGTATTTGATTTCCTTGAAAAAAAATTGGCGGGTATGGATACCTCTAGCGCGAGACGTAAATGTGATTTCTCTAAAATCCGAGTACCAGTCGTCCCTCCTGAATCGCCCATTGTTGAAGGCAAGTGTTCCGTATCAATGTGATCTATACTTAGACAGACGAGGCTAACCTGATTAGGAATCTTACTTGGGGTCGGCTGACATCATTGGAAAGTGTTTGGTGTCCGCGCATTAAATGTCATTCCGTTAAAGTTCCCCCCCACTTCTCCTTCCGCCTTGATGCGCGATCTCCAATTCTCTCTCCACATTGCAAGTGTCTGGAAGCTCGCGTCTTAGTCGTCACTCGCTCCTGGGCTGGACCCTTTGAAAAGAGGTCGACATCTAATGGCTTCCCTCCGATTGCCGCGGGCCAATCCGCTGGCATTCACCCGCTGGCCTGTTACTGTTATCACAGCGATCGTGTATCTGGCGCTGCTGATCCCATTGCTGGTCGTGCATCATGTTGTACCTTCCGCTCCCAGCTCCCCACCTAGAGGTCTGAACATCTCGGAAGCTTGGGCTGATCTTCAAGTCCTAACAAACGGCTTTCATCCATACAATTCGCGCCGGAATGATGTCATCCACTCTTGGCTGCTGAGACGGATCAACGAGATCCTGGACGCCACGCCTTCGGAGCAGGAGTACCGATCTGTTGACGAGAAAAAGCCGGATGTCTTTGTCTTCGATGACGTGTACTCAAACCTGACCACTTATGGGGGCACCCTGAAGGATGCAGATCTCGGCGTCTATTTCGAAGGGACCAATGTCATCGTTTACATCCGGGGGTCGGAAGATGACGCAGAACACTGGTGGGAAGCACCCAACGGGGTACCGACGAGCCGGGGAGGTGTGCTTGTGAACTCGCACTATGATAGTGTCTCGACCGGCTTCGGGGCTACCGATGATGGCGTCGGCGTTGTGACTTGTCTTCAGCTCGTCAAGTACTTCACTACCCCCGGACATGCTCCGCGGCGAGGTCTCGTGGTGCTGTTTAACAATGGCGAAGAAGATTTCTTGAATGGCGCGCGCGTGTATAGTCAACATCCAATCTCGAAGTTGCCTCATACTTTCCTGAATCTGGAGGGCGCGGGAGCTGGTGGACGGGCGACTCTGTTCCGGAGCTCCGATTTCGAGGTCACGGCCCCGTATATGCGGTCGCCGCATCCTTTCGGATCG